ATATATACATAGACACATACATTGTTTTCTATAAAAAATAGACCAAAATAATGCGATATGTTTCTATTGAAACAAATTATTACATCAGACCTGAAAATCGTCGTTGAAGAAACTTTGGGCCCGGTAATATGCTACCATATAGGCAGGTATCAGGTGGTATGTTTGTGAAAACTTTTGTCCATATTTATCCTTTTTTCCAGTGAATCGCATTGTTGCAAAATCTCTAAATTTCGAAATAAATACCATATTTATTTATAAAAAAATATGACTTATCATCTTCAATCACCTGGCAACATGGATCTACTTGATAAGAATAAGTCAGGACCAGTTTATGAAGTAGTTGAGACTGTAACCAACAACGATAAAAAGTGGCGGACCCCTGCGCCAAATAGCTGGATATCCCACTCCCAGGCTTCATGCAATCTTGCTTCGCACAGAACTTGAACCAGAGATTATTTGCTTCTGGTGTCCTTGGATTGTTCGATGCGGTTCCTCGGGGATGTTGGTCAAAGCGATACAGATATAGCCGTAACTTAGTTGAGCATGCTCGTGATGCGAAAGTTTTCTCCTCAAGTGCAAGCATAGGAAGTGGGGCTGAGCGTGCCCTGCATTCCACTTCTGGTTTGAGCTCAGCTCTGAGCCACATCGGTATTGCGTGAACCCCTCAACTTCAGCTTCATAATGGCACCGGTTAGTGATATCGTAGGCATAGATATCTCCGCAACTCCCTAAAGCGATTCTTCCGTACGATGGAAGTCACCAGACGCGGACAGTCTGGCCAACTGCAACAATACAGCTCAAACCACACGTCTGGTTTTGCCACAGACCTTACAGTTTATTCAACCCAACCCTGTTCCGTATCAATCTGCTGCGAAAGCCTCCAAGCAGAAGGACTCGACAATGAGCGTAGTCCCCGCAAGTGCCTCCGTACCGACCACAGCAGCCAGTGGACATAGGCCGAACCATATTCTTATTAGATCGCCCGTAAATTTGAACCACATCGTTGTGGAACGGAGTGTTTAGGCATTCCGGTTGGCGTGAGATTATATATCTGTTGAACTACACCATGTGGCATGTCACACCACTAGTTGCGGAACACGCGCTAGTAGCGTGCTCTGCCATGGAGGTGTGTATTCGCAACTGCCAACATTCCACCTGTCAGACACAAGCCCACCAATCTGCGAATGGACATCTGATGCTGGCCCAGTGTGACAAGGCTTATCAATCCGTGCGAATGAGCAGTACACACCCCGGGGCTCTCATAGATGTATCTGAGGGACATCTACACGAATGCACTGAGAAGTATACGCTCCTCAACAACCCAGCCCACCCACTACTGCGGAGACACCACCAGCAGCAGTTCATGGGTGCCTTGCTCACGGGATCTGTATAGCCTACAGCACGATAGAGCTCGATTTATAGAGCACGACAATGTTCTATTTATAGAGCACGATAATGTTCTATTTATAGAGCACAACAATGTTCTATTCATAGAGCAGAATAATGTTCTATTTATAGAGTAGACCCCATTTGCTGAATATAAAATCTTACTCCACGTGGGTTCACTTGTCTGATAGAGAGCACTTCAGACACTTGTCGTACACGACTATCCGTTCGCCTACATTGGCCTCTTCCGCAAACCCCGATATAAAAGTCCTCGTCTCGGAAGTTACAGTAGATCATACCCAATACGGTTCGACTTGTACACTCCAAAGAGCGTCTTCAGCTTCTTCACCGCACTTTATGCCCATTCAGTGGCAGGTAGAATACGGCAAAAGACCCCTGCCGATCACTGATACAGATCCTACTCGTCAGTCATGTCTTCACATTGATCTCTTATTTGTCCCATATGCCCCAGCGTGACGGCCAAGAAAAGCTCAGGGATTCTTCCAGTAACACAGTACCTCGCGTAGACCATCCACGGTGCTCTGCCTATTTGTCCAGTCGAAAGTACTGCACCAACTTCTTCACCTCATGCGTAGTCAATGGTTGGTCGAGAACGGCAATGTCTTCTTGCATATGCCGCTCATCGGTGGTTCCCGACAGCGGCGTGATTCCCATATCCATCAACAGCCGATAGAATACCTGCAAATGCAAAGAGAGGTCATTAGTTTTAGCCTCTGAGGGGACGGCTGACAGTCGTATACACATCGTCCAGTACGTAGTGATCTCGGTTGGGAATGAGAGCCTAAACCACAGCCCTGGTAGTATTAGAAGGTTTTAGATAATAAGTAAAAGGTATCTACACTGTTAAACCAAATACACTGTTAAACCAAATAAAACCTCTTGCATACGAGCATCAGTACTTGTACGCGCCATCAGCCCAGACGTGAACTCGCTACATTGTTAACTATTAACGAGGATGAAGAAACAAGCCTATACCAATCTAGCAGGTACTCACTACATTGTTCACAAGAAACAAGCCTATACTAATCTAGCAGATGTTATTAGACTAATCTTAATCTACGGTCGAAGACCCACCTATATGTGGTGGCACATATCGCAGAGTAATTATAAAGCAAACTACTCAACTATCCATATATTTAACGCATACGAGGTAATTAATTATACGTTTGTTTCGTCAAACGTAAGGTTTTAGGACAGACCTTCAAAGCACAAGGAAAAGTGCAAATCTTTCCCCTAGGAAGCCTCCAACATAAAGCTAGATAGGCTTCATAAGATGTGAAACACACAAAAATACAAACGTACGAACGCACACACAAAC